GCAAGAATAGTGCATGTAACCAACTGGAACAGAGCACAGTCTGGCTTTAAGCGTTGTTTCCACAGATGTTAAAACTATCAGTGAATCCAATTTGAAGATACACAGCGGTGGGCTGTGGCAGATTGAAATTCTTCTGGGGGGGGGACTACCTGACTGCATAACCGCTGTTTGATCTACAGACTGATTTGCCACCACTGAGTGGAGGAAACAACCAGGTGTAACATGAGGAACATGTTAGCTCTTGGTGTTCTTTGTTTATTTTTCTGGCCTGAGCCTGCAGAGGCTCAGTTTCCTCGAGTGTGCTGCACAGTAGAAGGGATCCTGTCCAAGCAGTGCTGCCCTGCTCTGGGCTCAAATCTTACCAATGTGTGTGGCACTCTGTCGGGGAGAGGAAGCTGCTCTCCCGTTCGAGTCGACAATAAACCCTGGGGAGGACCGTACCGCCTGAGAAATGTTGATGACAGAGAGAGGTGGCCCATCAAATTTTTCAATCAGACTTGCAGATGTACCGGTGAGTGCTGTACAGTTTGATTATGATGCTATGTCATTGAGCAGCTGAAGGAGAGGTAGACTCAACTAGAACATCAATAGCCGCATCTACATGAAATATGACGTTCAGTTTGCCCTCGGTGTTGCAGGTAACTTTGCAGGTTACAACTGTGGCCAGTGTAAGTTTGGCTGGAGCGGACCAAACTGCGACCAGAGGAAAGCTCCAGTGGTGCGGAAGAACATCCACTCGCTGACCCCTGGAGAGCTCCTGGAGTTCCTGAATGCTCTGGAACTGGCTAAGACCACCATCCACCCAGACTACGTTATTGCCACCCAGCACTGGCTGGGACTCCTAGGACCAAACAGAACAGATCCCCAGTTTGCCAACATCTCCATCTATGACTTCTTTGTGTGGCAACATTATTACTCAGTTCGAGACACTCTTCTCGGTAAACAAGCACGGTCACATTTCTGGACTTAAAACCATTAGAACTGATCACTTTACTGTGGTTGATTCTGTTTGGTAGGAATATATCAATAACAGAAATACTGGCAATATAAAATAGGAATGCATTTATAGGAAAGTCCACATGTAAACAGATTTTTAACAGTGTATTAAAAATACTGTGTTCACCTGGCCCCTCTTTTTTTCTGTGGTATTATTTTTTGTGACCTTATTTTAAAATTTACTATAACATAGTATGAGAACTCACAAGTCATTTGTTTACTCTAAATGAATTTTTTTTTACATGTAGTGTGTGTTGTGCACATTATTCTCTTGTAATCCTAGGCAGACAGCCTCATCAAACATTTCATTTCCCTGCAGGTCCAGGTCGTCCTTTCAAAGCCATCGATTTCTCACACAGAGGTCCAGCATTCATCACCTGGCACAGGTACCACCTCCTGAGCTTGGAGCGAGAGCTACAGGTATGAATAATTTCCTTAAAAGCTCTTATTGAGCTAATTTTAACATACTGATTACTGAATTTACATTTTTCACTTCAGTTGATCAGATTTTCAATGCATTATTATCTTGTTTTTGCTTTTACTGTTAATTTAAAATCATAAATTGAGCTATTGTTAAAAGCACATCAACATCTTGGAGGTTCTTTCCACATGATAGCACATAGAACTTGTAAATAAAGCTTGAATTATGATCCTTAACAGAACACAAGGGTTAAACAAAAAAAGGTTGTTGTGCAACACATCCATTATTTTTGTAAATTAATAAATATCATTTTGATGAATGCATTCTTAAAACCGCAAATTAACCCCAGAGACTTTCACACTGGATTGCTAAAATGAATGATTTTAGTGGATAACCTACAAAAATGTTTCTAATGCCATGCGCTGTTCATCAAAGAACAAAAATTAGGGTGTGGCATGATAGAATTCTTGAGTTAATGTGGAATATTTTAAAATACACAGTTTTAATTGAAAATCTTAAAAAGAGAGAGAATGACAGACAGAAAGCTGAGAGTGGATTCAAACCGGGCATCACAGTTTCTGCAGCAGTACAGACTGGCTGTCAAAAACCTCGGCCCCAAAAAAATCACATCACTAATATTTGTCTGTTTCCTGCAGAGGCTGACTGGCAATGAGAACTTTGCAGTTCCTTACTGGAACTTTGCCACAGGGCAGGGTGAATGTGATGTGTGTACTGACTCTCTGCTGGGGGGCCGAAACCCAGACAACCCCTCTCTCATCAGTAACCAGTCCAGATTCTCTAGATGGGGAGTGGTGTGTAACAGGTCAGTGCAAAATACTGAAGGAAGGGAAAACTCAGGAATAATTGGCTAGATTATAATGAAATAAATGTGAAAATGAGGGTGTGTGTTTAATTGCGCCGGTAGAAATCAGTGAAGGCTTTTCATGATTTAATTGTTTTGTTTTTCAGTTTGGATGAGTACAATCGCCTGGTGACGCTTTGCAATGGCACCAATGAGGGTTTCATTCAGAGAGGGATAATGGAGCGAAGTAACATGTCGCTGCCTACCATGAATGATGTCAGAAGCTGTCTGGGAATCAGGGACTTTGATAGCCCTCCATATTTCACCAACTCTTCCTTTAGCTTTAGGTACAATTTTACGGTTTAGCATCAGTAAAGCTAATGAATTGCTGTGCTGTGTACTATACCTGCTGGTTCATTCTAACCGAGGGGGTAAATAATTGTTTACTTGAACCTGAGTTTGAAGACAATTTGTTAACTGCAGTTTAACGAACCTTTGGCTTTGTAACTCACAGAAATGCTCTTGAAGGGTACGATAAACCAAATGGAGAACTGGACGAGTCAGTCAACAACCTTCACAACCTTGTCCACTCCTTGCTCAATGGAACTAGCGCTTTGTCTCACTCTGCAGCCAACGACCCCATCTTTCTGGTCAGATCAGATTTCTTTGTCAACTCTGAAATCCCAGGGTAGAGGTATTGTCATTACTATGACTGTGGTTGTTTACCTTTTAGGTACTCCATGCTTTCACTGATGCCATTTTTGAAGAATGGATGAGGAGGTTTGTTCCATCCAACGCCACCTTCCCAGATGAGATGGCCCCCATTGGTCACAACCGGGACTACAACATGGTTCCCTTCTTCCCTCCAGTCACTAATGAAGAGGTCTATGTTACATCTGAGCAGCTGGGATATTCCTATGCCATTGCCCTGGATGGTGAGCAAAAATTCAGTTAATGGAATTGTTTGACATTGTGGGGAAAAGCAGACTTATTCTAATATTCAGTATTTTTGGCACAAGTTCAATGAGAAGATTGATTCCATTCACATCTCTGTATGGCAAATAGGAAGCTACAGCCAGCAGCCGATTTGTTTAGCTTAGCATAGAGACCAGATATGGGAAACAGCTAGCTTGGCTCCGTCCTAAGGCAACAAAATCATAAGCACTTTTAAAGCTCACTAATGAGCATGTTTCATCTGTACAAAAGCCTCAGCAATGAAATGTGTTTAAGTAGCGTAACTATTTTAAACTGAACAATGAATCTTAAATGTCTATAAATAAATAAATAAAGAGACAAATTATGCCTTGAACACATAAATAATATAGTGGGGTGGGAGGTTTAGATGTTCCCTTAGGTTTGACATGGAGCATTTTGATGCTGAGACCATCTTCATCACTCCAAAATAAACTGTAGTATAATGTTAGAGCCATTTCCTGATTTCAGAAGGAAAATGTTGTTGAATTTCCACCACAGGAAGACGTTCTTGTCTGACGACATGACTACATGTCTTGGCGTTGCTGGCTGATCACAGCTAGGCATGGCAGACCGCTCAGAGCGATGCACGCTGATCTGACTGGCAGATGAGAGGAGGTGTTAAGTCAAATAAGAGAACCAGTCAAAAATGCAATTGAAATGTGATTGCATACTGCCAAATGAACGGAGCCTGTGTAGCTGCAGAGACAGCTCCTTGTAAACCATCGTAGCCTTGATGGTGTTGCACTCAAATTTGTCCCAGTATTTTTGGTGGCTGTCCAAAAACAAGGCGCTCGTACACAGTGAAAAGATGCAAAACAACAGAATGGAATCTTTTTTACCAAAATGTGTGTATTCAGTTGTAGCCCTGTGAAACATTGGCATTTTGATTAGTAACTGTAATTTAATTACATATTTTTCTAACTGTAATGGATAATATTTACTTTGTAATTCATTTTGTAATTTAATTACATTTAGCTTGTTACTCCCCAACGCTGAGCCTAGGTGTAAAAAAAAGGACGGGAAGTGTTTCTATGGGGCTTTATGATTATTTATTGGATTGGAGCAGTGACGTCCTGGAGTCAAAGCTAACTGGCTACTGGTGGTCACTTCCATATTAATGTAACAGTTTGAGGCTCTGAATTCTTAATTATCAGTTCACGAGTAATGTTGAGTCATTGATGCTGGTCCAGAGCCTCAACAAACCTATCAAATCTCTTTTTGCTAAAGGGAAGAAAACATTTTAAACGTCATAATTTAACATAATCGTTGACATTTACATGTATTTTCCTCAAATGGGCTTCCATATAATCTCCACCCATACTGCACCTTTACAGATGCAAACGGAGGGTCAAGTGTGTTTGTGCTGGGCTCCACTCTGGGGGGAGTCTTCATCGGTCTCCTGGTGCTTCTCCTTATCTTTGTGCTCTACCTGCGTCAACGGAGGAACAGAGGCTTTGAACCTCTGATAGCAGCAGACTTCACAAATAGAAAGTACACAGAGGAAGCCTAGATTTCACGTGCTTGTGAAGCATTCTTCAGTACTTATATATATATTAATACAGTACTGTAGGAGAGCTGAAGCAGCCAATATACAATCTTCTGTAAAACAAATGGAGAATATAAAGAATCTAACTTCATATAGCAATGATGTGAATCATGTACTATCTACAGAAAAATATTAATAGAGACTTACTACAAGTGAAACCAATCAAAATAAATGTATACTTTAACTGGTGAAGTACAGTCTTTTTAGCCAGACCATATTTCTAACCGTTTCTGTCCATATGCACGTTTAGCAGTTTCTTTTAAACACTTACCACAAATACAGTACAAATCTATTGGAATGTTTTTAATAAATATTTATTCTCAAGAACAGTAACAAAACACAGATGCAATCATCTTAATTGCACTGAAAAACAGTAAGGCATATTTGCTTATCTAGTCCTTCTTCCCTTCTTTGTATGAAATTATATTTAAACTCCAAACAAACTTCACTTCATTAGGGTTTGAATTCATACAGCAATGCAGTGATTGTAAAAAAATGCTGACCTATAGTGTTTCCTACTTGTTCTATTTTTCAGACCATTTGTCTAAATAGACATTGATTTTTAACATTTTATTGCAAAAATATTACCATTAAAAGTTCAATGATACAAAACATAAAAAGGGCATCCTCTAACATCCATTGTCATAATAAAGAATCCTTTTGACACATTTGACAGGTTTTTGTCAATATTTTTGTTTTTGCGATGTAAATGTAACATAGAAAAGCTCAACAAAGAGACTGATATACTGCAAAGGGTATAACACAGGTTAATTCTGTGGATGTGTAAGCCTGGTGGTTATGGAGCTGACGGGCTCTCAGAGAACAGTGGACGTGCATACAGGCCGGTTTTGTCCGCCCCCCTCAGCGGTGCCAGGCCTCTCACATTCTCTGTAAGTACGCTCTACTGAGGAGCTGCACTGAAGCATTCAGCCCTGTCCAGTCTCCACAGATTCTCATTTCACAGGTGACTGTGGTCGTCTCCAAGGCTGTCTGTGCTGCAGACATAACCATTCAAGCTTTGCAGATAAATTTAAAGACCCTTTCTTTGCATTTCCACTACCTACTGTGTGCTGTTTCCTACTTCCCTTAATAAGTCCCTCACCTTTTACATAACTGTTGTAATAATTATTTACTTTTTGAAAATTTTGTGATTGCAACTTCTTAACACTGTGTATTTTAATCGTGCTGCTACACTGTTCATTATGACTTGTTTATCCAAACAGTGACAGTAATTACACAGTAAGCGCTGGCTATTAAATGACATACGCAAAAGTTGCTGATGCTTTTTTTTTGTCCCTGCATATGCAGTTCCAATATATATGAACAATTTTTGTGGAAATGATTGTAGAGTATTCTGAGGATGCAGCAGAAAACATTCCGATTACCATAAATTGATATAGAGTTTACAGCAGCACAAGACTTCCTTCAGTGACAGCGATTCGGCATTGAATGGATGAGATTTTAATAGTGCAATGTGCATGTCCATTGACACAAAGCATACAGGACAAAGTTATGATTTTTGATTACTGTGTATGACTTCCTTTATAAGGCTTCAAACAGTAATGTGACCAGAATATGTTCAAGAACCACTTAAATATCTTTTAAAAATAAAAGCATCTCCTCATTGAGTGGCTTTGCATGCAGGTCACTTGGTCACCTAATAATAAAACACAGATTTTTAAGTAATCATTATATATTAGTGAGGATTTGAATTGTTTTAGCACACTGACATGAATGCATTGATGTTATGTAAGGACATGCACCCCACAACACTACAGAACCAGCATCACTAGGACGGCTCTTGGTGGCGCCGTTTCTTTTCTGCATGACAGTAACTGCTCCATAATAACTCTGCCTATGCTGTCTTCCCCTGAAGCCAAGCCTGAGAAACCCGCATGATATGATAATATTCTGCAGATAATAAATTTGTTGCAAGGCAAATGAGTATATAAAACTGTCAAACATATCCCTTTTAACAAAATGTGACTTCTTGCACAAGGCAGCTGTTGAGCAGTTTCAGTGGCAGGCTAAGAGCAAAGCAGATCCATGACCAGCCCATGATGAGGTTTACTGAGAATCTTATTATATGTCATGTTTGAAATGATTGTAATACAAAAGATGATTCAGCATGATTCATTGGCTGCATCTGATCTAAAAACAAATATGAAAATGTGACTGTTTTGATGAATATTCAATAGCTTCTCATCCAAAATCAATTATTGGCACATGAGTTAATGACAAAGGATTGACCTAATGTTAGGTGTTCCTGGACTGGATGTCATTTAAATCATAAGGCTTTGCATTTGTTTTAAAATATAACATTGAATATATATTAAACTTAATGTGCTTGTATTAGGTGCATCAAATAACCACATTCTCACATTTTTTTGCATTAAAAAACATCAAAACAATCAAAGTGCATGTTATATTTTTCTACATGGAGCCCTACATTAACATCTGCCATATGTGCGAGAAATACTTTTTTCAGTATCTGAAACCGAGTTTGTTGAGTCGGTGTTAGACGGTGAAGAGATGTCATATGATATCAAGTCTGAGGATGGCACTGCATGATCTTTGGGAAAGTGGGAAATCATGATGCGTGACTGCTCTTTTTTTCAGAGCAGACTCGACTAGCCTCGAGGCTGGCAGCCTGAAGACTGTCTGCTTGACTGTAGCTCCAATCTGCCTGAATACAAAAACTGCAAAAAAAGAAAAAATATATCTTGCTGTCCATGTTTAGCCCTTTCCTCCAGCATTATCTATATTGTCGGTGGAGTGCCAGGGCTGAGAGGGCCAGAATGGTTGGCAGGGCTACAGAGGGAGCGTGGAGCCAAGCAGAGTGATCCACAGGCCCACTCCGGTCGGCTTTCACCACCGGGGCTTCAGTGGCAGCACCATCCGTGTCTGTGGGGCAGACCTCTGTGCAGCCGCTGCCACTGCCTGAGCCGCTGCCTTCATCACCTGCAGTACCATAACAAACCACAAGCCAGACTGAGAACCTCACTGAAACAGTAGAGCAATATTAGTCAACTAACCGACCAGATTTTCACAAGTCTAAAGTGTCATTTTAAAGCAGCACAGTATGCAACTTTTTCATATGAAAAGGGGTCGCTCATTGTGATGAATACACAGAGAATTATCACCCAAGGCTGCACCTTTAGCTCTATGGAACATTTTAGTGTCTTTCAGGGTCTTTTTTTGGATTTACAGCCAACAGTTTATTTGTTTAGGTTCACTCTCACTGCACTCAGTATCATTTTCAACTGCAGTTCTACAAACCCACTGTACACAACACCAAGTGTCAAGCAGATATATAGTAGTTAGCCACATTAGTTAGCTAACTAGATGGAAAACATAGTGACGCATGCAGCCTGATGTTTTTCTCAGGATTTAGTAGAAACCCAAAACAGAATGACTACATAAAGTGGACACAAATACCTAATTAATACTAATACTGCTTGGCACCGAGTAGTCAGAGATGGCGAAGCTAAAAATATTTCATGCCAAAAGAAAAATGGTGCATGTGCCTGCATGGCAAACGTGGTAAACAGCTTACTTAAATCTTGAAAGTAGATATCATTGCCGTTATAGGCATTCTTCAGCTTGTTGGTCATCACCCTCAGAGCCATGATCTGCTGGCGGATGAAGGTGTCTGGGCGGGTGATATCAACAACCACCTCAGGGTTATTCACCTGATTGGTCAGTCCATCCTTTTGGACTTCAGGGAAATACCTTGCAAGTGAAAACAAAAACAAACAAACCAACAAACAATAAACTGATATTATTTTTGACAAGGTGCTTGTTTAAAGGACAAAAAGGCTGCGATCCCCAGTCGATATTCATGAGAGTAGACAACCTTACCATCAGAGCTCCCTGATGTGCAATGAATTCTCATAATCAATAATACCATATCTAATAAGAAAGACCGCAGAGAAGCTCTGAATAAACAAATGTTTCGCTGCTCTGAGATATGGGACTTATTCTCACACAGCACTCGATAGCTGCTCTTTGAGGATAAAACAGTACTGGCAAAATAAACATTTAAACTAATCATGTCAGGTAATGTTCTGACATGCTTGTGAGATATTTCTCCAAGGAAAACATGTCTGCTGCCTGTACTCCGGTTTGATAAGCAGCAGGGCATCATGTGAGGGCAAATCATCTGACAACATTTGTTTCCCCTCAGTTCACATCATTCTGGATAATATATGCCTCTGAAATCCCAGTGAGTTAAAAGAGGCAACAAACGATGCCACTGATGATATTCTTTTCTTTTTGGTCATAGAAAATAGAAGCAGCTGACAGATTACAATACCAATATACAGCCTTAAAGCATTCATTTTAAGGGTTATTTAAAAAAAAACATTTAAAAGATGAATGCTGAACATCTTCTGATTATACAATTGATATGAGTAAACGTGGCACAGATCAATTAACTGTGACCTCAGCAATGGCTGCAGGCATTTGGACGTCTTGTGCAGGTACAGTATTTACCTTGACAATCAAATCAGATTACTGACAGAAGCACTATGCTGGGAGCACATTTTAAAGCAGAAACAACACACGATTCAATAAAATAACACCAACCAAAATGCAAATAGCATTAAAACAAATTATCAATAGACCAAAATGATGAACTCTTGACTATATGAGACCACATCCCATTTGTTTAGTTGACAAATCTCAGTCAAAGTATGCCAAGCTCTTGTACAGCACAGTTTAAGACAATGGAAATACATCATCTGGTCCTTAATTCTTGGATTAGACCGATTAACGTAAAATGAATTGAACAGACATTGGCCTGCATTAGCCCCGGCACCCTTACCGGCCCTTGGCGTGTCCATTCCAGCAGTCCTCATCACTTGCATTTCCAGCTGTCACTCTGTCCTCCATGCACAAAGCCTCAGGAAGGTTGGACCAAAATTTCTTGGACAGCTTCAGTTTCTCTTTTATGTCAAGCACCTAAACAAAGAAAGAATTCCAGCTCCAGTCTGTGTTGCAGCCAACTACATTTACATAGTGTAATACAAGAAATATGGGCACTGAAAAGGCAAGATTATCTAAAGTGAAATATTAACTGGTTGCACATTTACAACCAATTTTCTTATGAAATCATTATTTCTCCAGAGTTAATTAAATACAAAAGATAGCCCACAGTATAGCCAGTGTCTTTTCTTTTAACAGTTGATAACAACACTCCCACACACAGCTATACAACAATATTACTAATTACCATGTGTCCTTGTAAAAGCATCTGAAAGACAATACAGGCACTGACAGATAGGACATGTATGGAAAATGCTACATTTAAATGTAGTATTTGAGTCAAGTTAACATGCATGAGCTTTAGAATTCTTTACCTTAAGAGGGAGCTCATTTGTAAACTCATTATAAAACTACCCCCCCCCATTACTCCATCTTAACAAAGGGATTATAAAACACCCTGAGACATCTTAACTTCTGACTCTGGAAAAAAAAAATTGATTTAATTTGCCCTCCATGTTGACAACTGAAGGTTTGCATCATGAAAAGCGAGATCACATCAGCTTGCAGCTATAATTTCAGCTTCAATGTCAGACCCAATCTTAGCCATGTGACACGCTCAGATATCATTTCCTGTTGTGCCTGTTGAACTCCAATCTTTAATCAAACTTACAGAATTTGACATATTTCACTGAAGCTGAGGGAAAGCCTGATAGCAGCAGGTTGGCCCATTATCTTTTTCCGTCTGACTTGCTGTTGGCTTACGTGAAATTGTAGTGAACCTGAGCAGAACATGAAAGGTGCTGTGCCGGCTGTGTGACGCCGCTGTAGGCCCCAGCAGTACTTTTGATGTGTTAATCCTGTCACACTGATGCCAAAGCACTTCAGCAGCTCTGATACTGCCAGAGGGTCAAAGCTGCACTCAATGCAAGAGATTGACTGGCAATGTTTGACTAAACCTCACATATTAAGTTTAGTTTAACAAGTGAGAGATTTACAGGCTCTCCCAGCAAAACCAGGCCTGTGACAAAGTGTGAATTCTGCTGGGGACAACAAGCTCACATTTTTGTAATGCAAATATTTAATTGGCACCTTCATTAAATGTGGTGGTGCCATGTTTCATGTAGCTGACAAGAGACAGTTCACGTCCTATAATCAACAAAAAGCTGAGATGGCTGACACTGGCTTTTATATTCTCTAATGTGCAGTACTGATACATAAAACTGTACTCAGCCATATACACTGTATATCCATTTTACAGAGTGAGCGAATGCTGCATGTTTTCCTGTTTCAACCACCCACAACCATCACATAATGTTAGCAGTTATATAAAACTCCCCACTGAGACAGTATAGGAATCTACTAGGTATAAAATATAAGTACCTGATGAACCCAAGATACCTCAAATGTCTGATGCTTAAAGGAGTAAAGTTTCAAAAGCAGACGAAATGTTGAACCTTTGCACTGAATAATAAATATGCCTCTGGGAAGACTCTGCCTCTCACTTCACTGGGCACTGCCCATGAATAAATAATACAACTGCATCAACCCTGGCATGCAACCAGCTGTAGTGTACACTAGATGGCACTATGTCTTTGAGAAATGGAGGGGACGAAAACAACCAGAAAGGAAACACAGGGCAACTGAAAGCAAGAAATGTTCAAATCGAAAACAATTATGTTCGCTAATGATGTTTCTGTCACTTCATATTTCACCTTCAAATAAAATTCTGCATGTACTCATGAGTATTTGCCATGGAAACAGATGTAGAGTAGATAAGAAGACTCATGAAAGGTTTAGGTGCAGAAGAATCTACAGACTATACAGGAAACGCATGTTGACAGTGTCACTCCAGTACGACCATGCTACAGTACGTGAAGAAGCAGAGAGGAGGTGGCAGAGCAAACATCCTCATTACAGTCAACTGCTTGGTAGTGACAGGGCTGACATTAAAAATCACAGTGAGGATCACAGACAAAATACCTCCCCCTTGCCTCACATCAGGATATTACATCATGCTTGTTTTCACTGATATCCTAATAGATCATTATTACCATACTGTATGCTCGCTATTTGGATTCCTGATGACATGAAAGGAAACATTAGCGCGTGATACCTATGGCTGTGTAATAACAGCTGACAAGTGCTGATCATTTACATGAAGAGCTCAAAACCAACTGTCTCTTAATACTTTCCAACTTCCCGACTATGTCTGTGGCACTCACCCTCATCCCCGCTGGTTTCTACTGAAATCTTTACAAATGGCTTACAAGCATGTGGCTATTTTTCAAAAAGGCTCTGTCATTTCCTAAAAAGTTGGACACTGTAGATTTTGTCAAATGTAATTCAAACACGGATAAAGACAGTATTTATTGGGAACTGTTTTCAAAGAATCGTTCCACATTTGGTGCTCTAATGAGTTTTTAATGCAGCAGGATGGGATGTGTGGAATTTACACTAAATACAGTACACTGGCAAGGATTACTGTAATAAAGGGAATATGTCGCCCAGTGGAACAACATGGCTCAATAATGTGTTCCAAGACAAAAAAAGGAAACAGAGCCCTGTGGCGCAAAAGAGAAAGCTGTGTTAGGCTTCAGCTACATAACTTTTGTGGGTTTATCCTTTCATGGGACTGGATGACAATAATAAATACAGAATATAACCATATCGATTTAAAAAGACAAAAAAAAGATGTTTGTCTTCAGCTTAAACAAGCAGACATATTTATGATTAGGCATCAATTTAAACCTTAAAAGGAAAAGCTGCAGTTTTGCCTGCTCTCTTTCCTCTTCATCCATATCCTTTCTAATATACCCTCCGTCTCCATGCTTTCTTCACCAACTGTATTACTGCATTGTGTTTCTCTCTTGCTGCCTCCTTGCTGTGACTCTAATCTCATCTCACTTTGGCCTTTCTTTCTGTTAGCTCAGTCCTAAGTGAAAGTGAAGGTTTCATGGCTAGCTGACCTGTAATGTTAGACCAGACTCTTTTTCTAAGGAGCTGTATGAATAAAGCTTCTTTCCACTGTGATATGCAGTACAGTATATGCTCAGTCATCTCTGTACTGTTCGTACGGCTGCCCTCTTCCACCTTATCCTCAAGTCTATATTTTAAATATCTTGCATACTAAAATTAAACTGAATGAACTGTAGGGCATGAATGTAGTTGCTCCTAATTTTCTGCCAATTAATATATGCTGTCTGTTTTAATATTAAGGAAATGCTATGTTTAATCAAATCACCGCCATGTTCTTTGCGTTTCATGTCTCTTTCTTGTTTTCTCAGGAACAGGAAAACAAAACGTTAGCTTAACAAAACACCACTAAACAGCACGCAATATAAAAAGCGAATTCAGAGTAAACGGCACTGAAAAGTAGCCTGTAATGTAGCACAGCTTAGCTTGGATGACCCAGACATAGCATTTCTTTTTTTTTGCTACAAATGAAATCCACCAAAATATACTAGAGATGCCATATAATGTTTACTTGCTAGAAAAAAGTATTTTACTTCCTTGAATGAACAAACATGAGGAACTGTTAACAAAGAATAATTATGTCCAAGAACCAGACTATGAGTCAATGAGATAATACAGACACTCAAAGACTTTCTTACAATACGTCTTGTTTTTGTGGGCATGCAGCCGAGAGCGCACACAGATCAGTCAGTGTCTCTGCATGCACGTTAACAAGGTGGCGGCTGTGTGGCACCTTGCAGCTCAGTACAGAGCTGAGTGAACCGTACTTTGACCAGTGGTTTTCAGATGCCCTCGCCTATTCCCAGATCAAAAGCTGACGTGTCGCTGGCTTTGAAGCTGTAGTCAAACTCATGGCGACAGCACAATGTCAGGGGCCTGATCTCTTATCTGGCTGTAGGATGACACCCAGATATGCTTTTGGTCTTCAGAAAAGAAAAGAAAAGAAATATGTGGCCAGTCTATGTCTCTTTTTCTCTCAAAAACACACACACTCATCACGCTTGCACTGCTGCCAAAGCCGAGCTACAGTGCTCAGTGTCTCCCCTGGCTGTTCTGCCAGCTGCTAAATCTTCCTCTCTCTCTCTGTCACAAACACAAACACACATACACGCACAAAGCCCGGCTTGTCAGGGATTCTCTCTCGTACAGTTAAAACACCTCTATCCTGTTGAATTAACAATGATCACTTTTTAAGCAGCTATCTGGGGATGTCATTGCTGCTTGACACAGAACATGTCTCTCTGCTCCAAGTTTGAGCTAAATTAGTGCATGTTCAGTCTAATCATAGACTCGGCAGCAGGTCTTACCACTAAACCGCAAGGGGCTGACAACTCCTCGATCAACTTATTTTCCCTGGCAACTGCGTGTCCTGTCTGCATTAAAATAGTTTTTCATTTGATACAAATGCAGTGTTCTTCCTGCATCTCAATTACAGAGGTCAGGGAGTTGGTTCTGCTCATACAGTACCAAGACCTTGGCTATGCCACAAGGCTCTCCCTGACCAGTGACCACTTTGAGGACAGACCAAATAGTTTCTCACTAGTAGGAAGGCCACAGTAAGAATAACTCTGTCTCTTCATCACATTCTTGTTGGAGTTAGATTGTTGACTGAGCCAATCCTAAAGGCTAATACACCCAGCTGTCTAAGTCTGGGTGCACTACATGGAAATACAGCCAACAGATCAACTCCCACAGTGTCGAGTATCAGCGGGGCCGAGGTCTTTGGGGTGTGTATCCCCGAGGTTTATTTAATCTGGTGTCAAACACATCATAAAACCCTCCTCATTGATTCAGGTCTACCCATAAACAGTGGATGCTTTCAACCAAGATCTGCCATCTGGTGCCAAATCACTTTTAGCATATTTAAAAAATCAGCAGAGTAGAAATAATATTGACTACCCCAAAGCACACCGGGTGAATGACCTCTGTCATAATGTTTTGAGCAGCAGATGTCTCCACTTTGTCCTTGTCTGGAGACATTCACCTCAAATGTCAGTTGCGCT